TATCAAGTAGTAATCATCATATTTCAATGAGACTTGCTACATAGATCTTCTAGGATTAGTTTTAATTGGATATTAGTTACATAATTATATATATAATGTTCCACTGATATATAAAGAACCACGAATTGGATTTAGATGAAACTTTTAAAGAGAACTATGCAGAAACCCAATTAGTTTTTGGTAAATATTTATGCTTATTAATCACCTAATTTACATAATTAATTAACACTGATATCTCAATTACTGGTCATCACATTTGAATACAATTGGTACATAAATGCTCTAGGACAATTTTGATTAATATTAATTCTCTAATTAGCATAATAATTCATAATTTTGTTGTGCTGTTCTGTTCATATTAGTTACCTGATTTACATAATTAGTTTTCAGCTTTTCCATCAATATCTCATGTACAAATAATTTTTAATTAATTTTTAATGTGTCTTCAATACTCTCTCAGCACACGGGAGTTCTTTCTAAGCTTTCTTTGATTTTTTATGACACTTTGAGCAGTTTATCAATTTTAGCAGTAACTTGCATACATGTTACAGTAAAACTAATCTTTATTTTTGTCTTGTATGATATAGACTGCAGAGGGATTTATTCATCCATTCTTGTATTTATTAATTCAGCCTGACTTTCAACAAGTGACATAAACATCAAGCAGAGACCAAACTCATCATTCTGTTTGGTGTGTGACCATTCTTAAAAATGACTTTAGCTTTTATGTGTATAAATTTGGCTTTCATACTTAAGTTAGGTGTGAAGTTGTGATTATCTTTGGACCAAACCAGTTGTGCCAGTTACCAAGCACTGTTTCCTGAATCTCAAGGTGAGTGTTCGTTTTTCAATTCAACTTTTTCAGTTTGCAATCCGTACATGCCAGAACGCAAGGGATGCATACGAGTATTGAGTTTACACCTCAAGGAATTATTGAACCACGTGTGTTTTTTTCATGGGTGATATATTTAGAGTTTTAGGTATAATTATTTTTGTTAATTGAGTCTGCATAGTCTGTCTTATTTAACAAATTTATAATAGTATTCATTTTTGCCATTTCAAGGGTTAAAATATCAGTTGTGTTTTTCTAGGCACATGAAAGCAGATACAGCTATGGTGTGTAATCAAAACATTGAAAGTAAAAAACATTTTATGATCATTCAATATGTTAATGAGTAATGAGTTTTGTAGGATGTTGTAAAATGAGATAGTGTAATCATACACACACACCATCACACAAAATAGTCCACATATTAAATAATCAGTCTCTTCTTCAATACAGGTGAATCCTGTCATCTAAAATGGAACGACAAGCTATATTTTTGAATACTGACGTCCGAAAGCTACTGCGAAATAAGTGTATTGTAGTCATGGGAGATTCTGGTCAGTACATTTATATTCCAAGATAGCTGTTAGTGTATCAAACAATATCCATGTTTTAGGTGTGGGTGATATTTGCATTCAGTCTCAATCCAGCCATGGATCACTGTAAACATACAATAGAATGGAATA